AAAAGAATGAGGAAGAAAACGAAAAAACTAGGATGACGTCAAAGAAAAACTATTCCACATTGTGTTCGACCTAGTCAAAATATGCTGCTACAGGAACAAAGAAGGTCAAAGAAGTCTGCTATGACTTGATAAAGCAGTTTAAATAAAAAGTAAATTACACAAATAACTCTCAGATCTTTATATCAATAAAGTTTTTGAACTTTTTTTTTATTTTATTGTGTCAATTGATCCCCTTACTCCCTAATTGTGGTAATTAAACCATTCTGCCTGTTTCCATTAAATTTTCTAACGAAAAAAGACAAACTATACCACTTATGTTACACAAATGATTGGAGTAAATTACATATATGATCCTTAAATTATGACTTATGTCAATTAAGTCTTTGAATTTTTTATACGTTAATTGAGCCCCTAAACTCTTTAATTATATTAATTAATCCATTTTATATTTTTGTGTTATATAGTCATACTAGTGACACAATCTAATATATTTTTGGGTTATATAGTCACATTAGTGACACACTCTAATGAAGGTAGACTAAATGACTCAATTAATGCAATTAAAGAATTCATAGACTTAATTGATACAAAAATTATAGTTTGAAAATCATATGTATAAGTTTCTCTTAAATAAAACACTAAAGACTATGGCAAAATCGTGCTTGGCCTATACTAATACTATTGGAAGAATTCAACCGATAATAAATAACTAATTATTAGGAGGTTGGTTTAATCTCCAACAATCAACGAGATAAATAGTAATCAAACAAATAGTGCACGGATTTAAGTAGCTTGACAAAATTCTATTTACGTCTTCTCCTTGTTTTTATATGAGATTTTTGGTGGCTCGGACCTAGGCTCAATAGAATTTTAAAAAAAATTCACTCGTTAATTTGTTTTTGGATTAAGTCAAAACAATGATTATAACAAACACTTTTTAAAATTATAAAAAATAACAACAATTTTATCACGTAATTAAAAATCATATTCTAAAAATCTACGTCATCATAATATACATTTTTCTCTAAAAATATAAATCATCAGATAAGTACACTAAAAAAAATGTTTCAGATTAACGTAACCATTTATCGGAGGTGTGAAGATACATTAAATTACATTTACTAATAACGTCTGTACTTAATATTTCTCTCCCACAGATACACTGAAATGAGACATATCTATCCTTAACAAAACTAATAATGGAATATGAAAAGTAATCACGTCACAAAAAATACTCATGATTACACACAAAGCAAACTGCACACCAGGTACGTAATTAACATATACATTTTAAACATAGGTACAAAACAATACCATATAAGGTGAACAATATACACGATCAGTAATGTACATTATATAAATATATGCATCCACAAAATATGTACATTATTATTTAATTAAAAAAAAGATACATATACACCATTACAGATATATAAGTACATACAACTTAACTGCTATGATCAAATTTATGTACCTACCAAGTCTATGCTTAGGATACATCACCAGTTTATTTCAAATTGTTTGGTTCAGAAATTTGAAATTCACAATTGACGTACAAATATTACAAAATCCTCAATAGAAAAATGCATAAAAAAGAAAGTAACTGAAATATAGGCTGAAATCATGTAATGAGAGTAAGACAGATAACCAAAACACATTAGCTATTCAACCGCGCTCCATTAGCGCCTAACTAGGGACTTTTTTAAAATGTTGGAGAATCTTTTTTCTATATTGAAAATCCTGCAAGATTAAAATTAATTTACACACCAAATGAAGAACCCTAACCTGATTAACTATTTTTTATATTAGGGGTGCAGCTTGAGTAGATTGAGAGATCAATTCTAGTCCAATCGTAAGTATCAAATCTTTAACTATAATTTTAATTCTAACTAGATCTCAACCAGAGATGTTGCCCGATTTAATTTTGAATAAGCTTAGGAGGAGAGTATACAATGAAAGAATCGTCAACTGTTCGGTGACCGAATTCAAGTGGTTTTTATTGCTTTCTCTTCTCTCCAACACTCTTGGATTGATCATCTTGTTGCAACAAAGCAAGCTTAGGAATGAATCTAATAAAAATTTTGGTCTGGTCCACAATTGTTTTCTCGGTATTTTCCAAATCAAAGAGCTTTTCCACTTTCTCGTATGTTACTGTCGAACAAATTGGTAGTTTACCACTAGAAGTTTCCTCGCCAAATTATGTTTTATTCATTCTCCAGAAAGTATCTAAAATCTTCGGTTGAATTTGAGTAAGTTAATTCGGGTTTACTTTGGGCTAATTTCGGGTTCATCCACTTCCATGATCTGTCCACCTCAAACCACCGCCACTCAAATCACACAAACTACCATTACTCTCACAGTTCACAACCCAATAACAACAAATCACAACCCAACCCGACAACAAACCCCCAAACTTTCTTTCTTTCTTTGTTTTCAACTTCTCAACCCCGTCAACAATGGAGCCTCACATTACTCACTACCGAAGAGAAGATGGAGATGGAGATGGAGAGAGCCACATCTATGTCTTCGGTCGAGATACTGAGTTCATCCACATCTATGTCTTCAGTTGAGATGGTGAGGCAGCAACACAAACATCGGTTGCATTTAAATATAAGATTAGGTTTGGTAAGTTGAATTCTCAATTTATAATTGTTTTGTTTTTTAAATGATTATAAATGTTAGACAACTCAATCAACATATTCTCCAATACCAAATAATTTCATTAATTCACACCTACTTGCTTCTTATTTTCTTTATATCCACTTTAATTTTAAATACATAATTAAATAAAATGAAAGTAAAAATACATTGTATTTAAAATATAAATATTACACGATCAATGTTTAATCTATAATATAAAATAGAACAGACTTCAATAAGTCTATCTGATTGTCTCATCCAAGGACTATCAATATTTCTTTCAAAATCATTATATTGCGTTACGCCTTCGGGCATGAGTTACTTTTAATTTTTTATATTACAAAATATCTTATGACACTAATTATCGTTATATTGCTTTATGCCTTCAGGCATGAATTATTGCTTTTTTTTTTTAAATACTAATTATTACCCAGAATGGGTGTTGACAAGATTGCATGACCAAGTCTCTATTTGTCAGCTTCACCTGGTATTGAAAGAAACTGAAAAACCCGAAGGCACAACCACAACACGGCAACTTTAAGAATTGCTGTCAATCCGATTCTTGTGTTAGTGACTGGTCTGATATTTGACTATTTCAATCCTTGGAAATTCATGCATCCAGTTCCGCTAGAAGCTCAAGACATAATTTCATAAATATGGTCTGATATTTTGGTGCTATGACCTTATTTGTCAAAAAATATCTTTGATTCCTTTCGGAGGTAAAGCTGTGAGGTTAACTTTTCATGTTGTACAATCTCGTATTTGGTCTAGACCTTGTCAATAGTTAGCTAAGATTGAGGGCAAACTTTGGAAGAGTGTTGTGTTCTTAATCTATATTTAGCGTCGAAAATTTCCTTGAATTATCTTAATAGAATATTGGGGAACTTGAGCGCCTTTTTTCCCACGAAAATATATGGACACTAAGATTAGTGTCCTAGGAAAAAGCAGCATTGAAGTGCGAATCACATTCAGAAGATAAGTTCAACGCTCTCTAGAGTAATTTTAAATAGTAGTTTAAACGATAACAGAGACGAGTTATAAACTTAGACGTCCTGAGTTTAAATTTTGACAATTTCTTGGAGTCAGGTCATGTTGATGAATACCCAAATTTCAATGTAATTAACTTTTATTTGACCAAAATAAAAAAGTGATTAATCGAGATGGATCGATACGAAGACTCTCACCGTTGAAAATAGTGAAAAGTCTTCTACCTGAACTCCACGTTGCTTGTGGTGCTGGTAAAGGAATAAGAAGAAGTCATGCTAAAACAAAATGACTTTTCCATTTTTATTAAATGCTAGAATAGTGATCCAATTTTAGGAGCTTTTGTGATTCCAAAAACATGTGTCACAGCTGCAAACCAAAAATTGTTATCGGCCCACTTTGTTTTTTTCGATGATCAAATTTTAGGAGCTTTTGTGATACCAAAAACATGTGTCACAGCTACAAACCAAAAATTGTTATCGGCCCACTTTGTTTTTTTCGATGATCAAGGGTATTTGAACCATTAAAGACAAATTTTATATGGCCGGATCTGAAAGAGTTAAAAATATTCGAATTCAGAACATTTGAATTTACAGTTAATTCTTATTCTTATTACCAATTAAATAATCCCACGGAGTTACCGGACCCTACTTTTTTGTTGGCTCTGATTGAGTCACATCTTTTTTTTTTTATTTTTTTGGGTTTGATTTGAAATTTTAATTAAAGTAGAAATATAACAAGAATCAAGAAATCAAGAAAGTGGGCTGACAAATCCTTTCCAAATATTTTTTTTATATAATATCTCACAAATTTAAACTCGAATAATAATATTAGAATTTAAAAAACTAATTCAATTTATTGACCTAATAATGTGTCAAGCTTAAAATTATAATAAAAAAATTTAAGAATTACAGTCACTGAAAAATTATTAGATAATGTCACGATCATATTATTAAATCAATTTTTTAGATCCTAATAATATTACTTTAATCTTCAAACTCAATTGGATCAACTTGTATAGAAGTGCTTGGGTCCGTCATTAATATATGGTGGGTGAGAATAAAAGTAAATCCTACTTTGTCCTCACACAAGCTATGGTAGGCGGCAGTGATGATGTGTTTTTAAAGAATAATCTTATACCGATTAAATTTATTGAGTAAATATTATTTCAAGTAATATGATAATATATTATTTAGACTTTTTATTAAGGATTAAATGACATGACACAAAAACTTAAGTCAACTATCATATTATTTAGGATGGATGTTTGGTCTCAAAATTTAGTCATTCTAAAATTAATGTTCTTTAAATAACCATATGTTCCATTATTTTTCTCATCCACCCCGTCACTTTCTCTCATGAAATTTTCCAGACCCATGAATTCCCCCTACCTTGCAACCCTTTTTGCCATTTTAGTTGCAATCTTTTTCTCCAAAAATGTTTTCCTTGGGGCAGAATCGGCAACTCTAAGCACAGACAGAGAGGCCCTGCTCTCTTTCAAGTCTCGGGTAAGTATGGAACAACCTAATGTTCTATCTACTTGGGAACCAAACTCCTCCCCTTGCAACTGGACAGGAGTAGTTTGCAACGAACTCGGCCAGAGAGTGGTTGAGCTTGATCTCTCCGACATGGGAATAACTGGTTCCATAAGCCCTCATATAGGCAACCTCTCATTTCTTAGATCACTTCAACTTCAGCATAACCGATTCAAGGGAACACTCTCTGATCAACTTGGCAATCTTTTTCGTCTGAGGATTATGAACACGAGCTCCAACAGCATAGAAGGTGCGATACACCACGAAATATAAGCCGGTGCAAGGAGCTCAGGATCATTGACCTGATGCAGAATGAGATTTCTGGACAAATTCCTGAAGAACACGGCGAGCTCCCAGATTTACAAGTCTTGAACTTTGGAAGAAACCACCTCTGAGGTGCAATTCCACCATCCATAGCCAACCTTTCTTCTCTCACTGTTTTAATTTTGGGCCCCAATACTATAGATGGATTGATACCTAGTGAGCTGTCTCGTCTTCGAAATTTGAAGCAGCTAGATCTCACCATTAACAATCTCACTGGCACTATACCACCATCCATATACAACATGTCTTCACTGGTGAATTTAGCTATGGCGTCCAACGATTTGTGGGGTGATATTCCTAACGATGTTGGAGTTACACTCCCAAACCTTCTAATCTTAAATTTGTGCATCAATAAATTCACTGGTACTATTCCAGGGTCTTTGCACAACCTCACAACGGTACAAGTCATTCGACTGGCAGACAACTTGTTGCACGGGACGGTACCACAAGGACTGGGAAATCTTCCGGACCTTCAAATGTACAACATTGGGTTCAATAAGATCGTTAGCTCCGGTGAAAGTGGTCTCGATTTCATTGCATCTTTGACGAATAGAACCCGTCTCCGCTTCCTTGCAATTGATGGCAATCTTCTAGAGGGTGTAATTCCAGAGTCCATAGGCAATCTTTCCAAGGTTCTCTCAAATTTATACATGGGAGGGAACCATATTCATGGTAGTATACAAGCCTCGATCGGTCTCCTTAGTGGCTTAACTTAGTTAAATTTGAGCTACAACTCAATTTCGGGTCAAATTCCCCAAGAAATAGGCCAATTGGAGAAACTACAGTGTTGGTTGGGTTTGGCAGGAAATCGTATCTCCGGCATAATTCCAAGTTCCTTAGGTAATCTCCAAAAGCTGAATGATATTGATCTATCATGGAATGCATTGGTGGGCAGCATACCCACGAGTTTTGTGAATTTTGGGTATTTGATCTCAATGGACTTGTCTCATAACAAGCTCAATGGAAGCATACCCAAGGAAATTCTAAATCTCCCAAGTTTAAGAACCTTCTTCAAACTTTCTAACAATTTCCTATCTGGGCCTCTGCCTCAAGAAGTTCGATTCCTACAAGGGGTTGGCACAATTGACCTCTCTGGCAACCATTTGTCAGGTAACATTCCCATGTCAATTGGTATGTGTAAGAGCTTGGAGAAATTGTTTATGGCCAACAACATGTTCTCAGGTCCTATTCCAGATACTTTAGTAGAAGTGAGAGGCTTGGAAACTCTTGACCTCTCCTCAAACCAACTCTCTGGTTCAGTCCCTCCTGACATACAAAACTTGAATGCCCTGCAACTGTTGAACCTCTCTTTCAACAACCTTGAAGGTGAAATTCCCACTGGTGGGGTTTTCTCAAATATCTCTAGAGTCCATCTGGATGGCAACCCAAAGCTTTGCTTGTATTCGGCATGTGAAAATAGTGGTGGTCGTGGAGTACAATTGATTTTGATTAGTGTTATAATAACAATTGCTGTTATATTAACACTTTGTTTCACTGTTGGTTTGTTGTTCTACATAAGAAAAGGCAAAGCAAAGGCCATGGCATCATTTGACTCCTCCAAGGGGCAACAACACCAAATGGTCTCTTATTATGAACTTCGTCTTGCAACTAAAAATTTCAACCAAGAAAATCAGATTGGACATGGCAGTTTCAGAACTGTTTACAAAGGGTATTTTAGAGAAGGAATCACCATCGCGGTTAAGGTCCTTGACACACAAATAATAGGTTCTCGGAAGAGTTTTTTTGCGGAATGTCTAGCTTTGAGGAACACCAGGCACCGAAATCTTCTTAAACTGATCACCTCATGCTCGAGCTTAGATTTCAAGAATATGGAATTTCTTGCTCTGGTTTACGAGTTCATGAGCAATGGGAGCTTAGATGATTGGATTAAGGGAAAGAGAATGAATGTTGATGGGGGTGGATTAGATATTGTTGATAGAATGAATGTGGCAACTGATGTTGCAAGTGCCATAAACTATTTGCATCATGAGTGAGTCTCCAGTTGTGCATTGTGATTTGAAGCCAAACAATGTTCTCTTATAGATGAAGACATGGTTGAAAAGGTTGGAGATTTTGGGCTTGCCATGTTGTTGATTGCAGGAATTGACGCTCAATCTTCTATCAGGTCGACGAATGTATTAAAAGGTTCCATAGGCTACATACTTCTAGGTCTGTTGTTTTCTTTTTTAGCTTCAATTTCATGTCAAACTAGTAATCAACTCTAATTCGATTTTTTTGACTAACCGTGTTAGATAATTTAACCTTAACCTACCTACTTATTAATCGAGTCTTGTCACACATAACCCGTGAAACAAAACTCTGCAATTAAGACTTTTTTCTTTGTCAACCAAAATTGGCTATTCATAGGTTTTTATCAACTGAAATCTACTTGGTAAAAATGCTTGCTAAACTAAGTAAAAAAAATTCCATAATCTACAAGGACAGTCGTTAAATACTAGATTAAGGAAAAAAAAAAATTTCTTCAAATTATGCTAACTAAATTTATTTGTTGTGTGAAAATCGAGTTTCTCAAGTTTAACACTAACTTCACTCGTCTATTACTTGTGCTAAGAAGTCGTATTATTTTTAGGTTCAGGTCAAGAATTTGTCAACTATAACAAACTAATTTCATTCTAGATTTGTCTTGTGTTAAAATATTATGTCGAAAATTGTCACTCTTAATTTACATGCTTTTATGTTGAACAATACATGATTTATTGTGCAGCGTATGGTCTTGGGGGGAAACCCTCAACTGTAGGTGATGTGTACAGCTTCGGAATTATGTTGCTAGAGTTTTTTACTGGAAAGAACCCAACCCATGACAGCATTGTAGAAGGATTAAGCTTAAAGAAATGGGTAAAACTGGCTTTCCCAACCAACATGGAGCAAGTTGTAGACCCTGAGCCACCTTCAGACATTGAAAACCTTTGTCGTGATGATCAATCCATAAGCTCCGAAATACGACGTGATTATTTGAAAATAATCGTTGATGTCGCGTTATCCTGTACTTTTGATTCTCTGAATGAGCATATAAACTTGAGAGGTGCTTATCATAAGTTGAAATGTGTTAAAGAAGTCCTTCTCAAACCTAATGTTACATAGAAAAACTAGTTCTAAAAGATAGCAGCAAATTTAGTTTTTTGGCTGCTACTTATTGTATGATTGTATGAAGAATGAACAAGGAGAGTATATACTGGATGTTGTGTTGCGAAATGCGGCAGGGGTATGTATGTACTTGAGCAATCAATGTGTAAAACCAAATATCCTGTTGTTATATTAAAATTCTTGTTTTTGAAGATAATTCTGATACTGAATTTTTTTTTTTTTTGGATACCTTATCATCAATTACTAATTTTTGGGTGTAAAGTTGTAAATTTTTGGGGTGTTTATGAGTCATCAAAAAATCATAACTTTATCCTAATACGCTATAATGTTACACAAAAAAAAATTGTAACTTTTTTAATTGTAATTAAACTCAACAACAATTGTATTTTTACTCACAAAAATTATAAATTTTAATACTGTACCTATTTCACTACCGTAGTCAAATTCCTTTTTGAATTATTGGAATATTCAGCTCTATGGATAAAACACGGTCAAAGGTTCATGGTCCACATGGGTTGGTCCAATTTTTGGTGACGGGCCATCAATCCAATGGGTAAGACCCTGAACCAAGATTTGGCCCGTTAAGGCCCATGAACCACTGTGTAGGTTGCCCATCAAAGACCCACAGGACCAGGCTGACGGATGGGCTGCAAACGCTTATTGCTTTGAATATTTATTTATTGTATTTCTCAAATATGTCAATTAGAATTTAGAAATATGATTTGGCATATGAGAGGCATAAATAAAGATAAAAATAAATGAATCAATTTAATTTTTTAAAAAAAGCCCTTGAAAAATTTGTTAATCAACTGCAAGAAAAATATGATTTTCAAAATAAAAATTTATTTTTTATATCTTTTTTCAATTTGTAATGGGCTCTATTTAAAATTTCTACCTAAGTCCCCGATTTATATTAAGTCGACCCTGACCTTGGGCAATTCATAATCTGAAAAAGCATGTCAATGTGTACATGGTTCATAATTTCAATAAGTTGAGTTTGATTTTTCATAAAAAAAAAAAAATCAATTTTTTTCAGCCAAATATGCAATAATTTTTTTTTAATTTTTTTTGTAAGCCGCTTTCAACCTGCTACAAGGATTGGTGACGTGCTCGAAAATTGTTGGGTCTCGTCAATTTTTTAACCCTCCTCGTCACAAAGGTTGGTGACGTACTCGAAAATTGTTGGGCCTCGTCAATTTTTTAACCCTCCTCGTCACAAAGGTTGGTGACGTACTCGAAAATTGTTGGGTCTCGTCAATTTTTTAACCCTCCTCGTCACAAAGGTTAATGGTTGCAAGTAGGCCTGTCAAAATCCGACACGACGCGATTAATTGACACGAATTAAACGAATTTGAGTGATAAACGAATTGATCCGTCAAACATGTTTAATAAACGAATCGTATTCGGGTGAGACATGTCAACCTGTTTATCACCTGTTTATCCGTTTAAATAAAATTAATATAATAATAAATTAATAATTATTTTAAAAAAAATAAATAAGGAAATCAGTTTACAAAAATTAGGAAACCAAAGTTTTGAGCCATTGAGGGGCATTTTATTTGAATCCCACATCGACGCGGGGCAGTGGGGAGGGCAATTTAGTTGCCTATAAAAGGGCCTCCTCCTTTTGGCCAGAATTTCCGCAATTGAGGTCCAATTGAGGAAAATATAGTTGAAAGTAAAAAAAATTGGAGTATAAAAGTTTGTTAAAATAAGTTGTGTTATCTGTTTATTTTTTAAATGGATTAAATGAGTTGTGTTATGTTATTTGTTAATTAAATGGTTTGTATTTTTTGTTTGTTTTTTAAATATATTGTGTTATGTTTATTAAATGGTTTGTATTTGTGTTAAAAAATTTTGTTTGTTTATTAAATATATTGTGTATGAGTTTGTATGTTTTTTATTTATTTAATTCGACAAGTAATGTTGAATTTAACAAGTAATTGAGTAATTGTTTAACCTAATTGACACTCTAGCTGTAAGAATGAGAAATTCTACGTTGCAAGCTACTATAGAGACTGATACTAAGGTTGAGGACAGCTGGGTTCTTTGATTTTTCGTTCTACACAATCACGAGAAGATTTACATTGACTTCAAGAATATGGCGTTCCCTGCTTTTGGATTCTCCCAAAACTACTACGGGGACCAGAGCCTTTAAAATTTATAATCCACTTTCTCGAGGTACACTTCATCTTTCTGTGGTCTCAAATCTTAAAAGTATTCCTTGATCTAGCTTTTGAAGGAGCCATCTAAAAAAAGAAAAAATAAATAAAACTAATAAGAAAACATAAGAAATATATGAAAATGTAAAAGTTAAAAAAACAAAAGAAACAAATATCAAATCAAAACAAAAATAAAATAAATTATAGATTGTGATGAGACTTTTCTGAAATACTCAATGATGAAGACACGTGTCCTCGGTATTTACCAAAACATTGTTGCTAAGATCAAACACCATCGGCGCGCAAAGGTCCTCGCCCCCGAGGTACTCGTCATATAGGATCATGGCATTCAGTATGTTTTACAACCGACACGTAGCCTCGTCTGATATAGTACCTCGGTCGGTATATCTCCCTCGGGTCCCAGATGAGCCTTTCCTCGGTGCCGAGAGGTACCCCGTCCTAGACGCCTCCTCTACTCCAGGATAAGCTATTGACGTACAGGTCATTAGCCTAGACTAGTCTAGGCTATTCAGCATGACCTCGTCTTACACAATTAGTGTCAGAACGTACAGGAATGCAGGGGCCACAGCCAATGGGGGATGGACGCGTGGCGTATGATATCACATCGAAGACAGAAAAACCGCATGTCGTTGCTGACACGCGACTTGAGAAAGCAAACGATGAATTACACCATTCCCTTGATGAGACCGCATTCAATGCGGTAAGGCTCGGAAATGAAAGGCAATAAATGCTCATAATACAGAGCATTTATTGCATCCTCCCCGAGAGGAGTACATTGTACCATCGGCATCCCGATGACCCAACATTGATTGCTCGGAACCCCGAGCAGTTAAGAAGAGAAGACATTCCTCATTAGAATCAGTGCGCACACTGCCTGGACCTAATGATCACCTACTGACTACACTGACAACAATCATGAGCTTTTGAAGTATAAATACTCCTTGCAAAAGGCAAGACGGGTATGCAACAAAGAACTCTTTACTACAATACACACTCAGTGTTTTTTCCTTCCTCTCTCTTTCTCAAAGACTGACTAGATTGTCGGAGGAGATACACCGGAAAACACTCCGGCGCCCTTCTAACTTGTTCTTCTTTGCTCCAGGGACCCCTTTCAGCCTTACTGGATCGTTCTTCCGCTCCCCCAGGGTCTCCCGTTGCCGTTCCAGGTTACCACCGGACCTCGCAAGTTGTTCCAAGCAGCGTGGTTGGTCACTCAACTGGCTCACTCGAGTTCACCATGGGAGAGATCTGTTCTCATTTTTTATATTGTGCAGGATCTTGCACGCACAATCTGGCGCCGTCTGTGGGAAACGACTAGTTTTCCTAGTTTTTTATCTATAAAGAACAGTGACCATGGTGAACACTCGACAGAAAGGGAAAGACCCCCACCAAAGGAGTCTCGAGTTACAAGCTCCCTGTCATCACGGAGGAAGGGATCACACCGATATGAATAAAAGTGCCTCTACTCGGTCAAGAGGGGTTACCCCTCAAACCAGTATGGGAATCAGGTCAGGGGGATCAGCCCCCTTGGCTCGTCAGCTGGCGGAGGTGATTGAAGAAAAGTTTGGCAATAGATTACGACAGCTGAAAAAGGACAATGTAAACGTCCTAAGCCGGCTCAACGAGTTTGCCGCCTCTGGCGAAGGATCGAGGGATTCATTCCTTTCTCGTGGGCTTCCCGCCCGGGAGGCGGAAACGAAGGATCT